GAGTGGGGAAAAAACTCGTAGGAACACACGTACATTGATAAGTTATTACTTGTTAGCTTCGACCGTTGTAGAAGGGGTATGCCGGGCGGAACGTGCAGCGTAGCTAGCTGGATGTATTGCGATAATACATTTTAATAATAATATTATTATGTTATAGTCGCTGCGATCAGTGTATTTCCCGTGGTTGCGGCGAGGTGTTTTCCAAGACGGTCTCCGTAGACTTTAACGATTTCGCTGATACACGTGGTGTTTCTCTAGTGTCCGTTTTTGTTTCAACCGCATCAAGTTGTCGCAAATCAATTAATATTCTATAGATTGCACGCAACACGTCGTTCTCTGAAACGAGACTCGGCAGGTAATACATTTATTATTATAATATTAACTATACATATTAATATATGTACCAACCTACTTACTTATCTATATTGGCATATATGATAATGAATTTATTTTACGTGATTTTTATCATTGTGTATTACGATGTATAGATCAACGGATACAACGCTAGTGACGTATAATTATTATTTATTTTATTTTATTTTATTTATTAATAAAATCATAACATAATAATAAATTATTATACACGTTCTAAATTAGTATGGCCGTATAATATTGTAATATTGGTAATATTAAATGCTTCTGGTACACGATCACAAATATAATTATTAGGTATTAATATTACCGTTCAAAAATATTTTACAAGGTGAATAACGTATATGAAAGTATGTGTTTTAATATGGTTTTTATTCAAAATTAGTTTTGAAAATACTGAAATTGAGTTTATTTAGGTAGGATTTGAATTCGAAAGCGTATTTGCATATTATTTTCTTGTTTATCGTATTATCATATACATAACTAACGGCACAGCCCGGCATTGCCGTGCCAAAGATTTGTTTTTTATAAATATATCTGTAAAAAAAATGTACACCCATGCCATATTTTTACCAGTTATAATAGTATAAAGTATAAATATTCTTTTTCGTGAGCTAAAAAAAAATTTGTGTGTGAGCTAGAGTTACCATTTAGCTACCTATAGGGGTTAAAAAAAATAATCTATAAATTCCTCCAAGTCTTAAGGAATCTATGGAAATAACTTTTATTGAAAACGGTCCAATATTGATTAAGTCTATTAATTACAAACAGATGACAGACTAGTGTCACATGACAGTACTATACTATTGCAATAGAAAATATATATAATATATACAACAGTAATAATAATAGCTTTGAATACAAATATCTATTATACGCTCCAATATTGTTTACAGAAATATTCAAACAGGTATGGAATTTCAATTCGAAATTGTTGAAGGTTTTATGGTAAAATTGAATATGTTTTATCATAATAGGTTCATTTCAATGCATGGATTTGCATGTATTTTGATGATTTGTTACAAAAAGTATATAATATTTAAACTGCACACGTCTTAGTAGATATGTAGGTATGTCTAATGTCTACTATTTTTGTCAAAATTAAATAAATAGATAAATTATGTTGCTTAATTTAATTTGTATTATAAATTCTATTCTATACATTAATATGTACTAAGCAAATATTACGCAGTATTCGAATATAATAATAACTTAGTTGTATGAAATTTACAATAAATGATAGACAAAAAATTTTACATGTAATCGAAGCACGTGAGTGTAAATATAGATTAAAAGAAATAGAGAAGGTAAAAGTATTATCTATCATTTAAATGCATATTAAAGTGATAAATTCTAATACATAAGTATTTTGCATATAATAAATTAGAACTATAAATTAGAACTTGAAACTTTTTAAGTTGCTTTCTGGATCAAAAAAAAAATCAATCAATATTTTTAGAGAGTTACAATTTTATAAAATTATAATTAAGGGTATAACCATTATGATTTTGGCTTTGTTATTCATAAAATATGATGATAGAGCTGGGGATAGGATGAACAATTAATTTAGTTATTTCATAATTTTTATCAGATAAAAAGATCATTATTAACTACTGTATATCTTCGAGGGATTAAAGGGTTTTAGCTAATTTATTTGACGTTGTTATCATAAATTTAAAATTAATTTGTTAATTCAATGATAAATAGTGCATGTACCTATTTATGCTCCAACGAAAAAAAATGGTCACTGTTTAAACAAAAAGTCTATTGCTATTAATATTTATAAATTGAACATATTAGATAATAGGATAGATAGAGGCATTTTTAAATTGTTGAAGTCTAACAGTAGTAATTATTGCTTATCAGTTAGGTCTTTACAAATGGAAATTCTTGGATATAAAATTAGCAATAACAGCAAAAATTCCACTTTTCAATCTATTTATCTTGACCCACAATAATAATATATTATGCTTGCCTACCTGTTGCTGTACAGCTGGTACCTATAATGGAACATTTTTTATTCTTGTAATATTTAATAAATCGACTGTACAAGTAGAACGAATCAATTATATCATTCTACGCACCATACCACCTTCACAGTTCACACTATGTGTGTGTCCCGCTAAAAAGCAAGTAGTCATAGGCATTACGCAAACGCGTAAATTGGTGAATTTGGAAATCTCTACAGTTACGACACACTTGAACTAATTGTACGTAATGAAAAATAATAAGTAGATACATAATATTATAATATAGTATAATACAATAATAAAGTATCTAAAAATTGGATACGTTTTCGTTCAATACATATCCGCCGAACGCAAAAATCATCACGGTCGCGAAGTTTAATTAAACCACCTGTCGTATAGTTACGGCGTATTTCATTTCGATCGTTATTGTGATATTATGTCGATTACGATGCAAGTAGATTGATTTCGAAAATGACGACACGGAAAATTATAAAATCTTTATAATAATATAGGTACGCGTTTGTTTTATACATAATATTATTAAATATCATTAATTTATAAACACGAAATACATTTTGACATTCGACAATTCAAACTTACGATTATCATTTCTAAACTACTCTCGGTGATTCCGTGGCAAAACAAATGATCGTCCATCTCTTGGTAATTCAAGACATAAACCATGCATTTTAGTACACTTGAAGTAATTTGGACCAGATTCCTCTAACACGTGACAAATCCATTTGACTCCCGGAAATATTTGAAGTTGTTTCGCCGTGATTATTGAGCATATGATTTTCATTTTTATAGTTAATTAACAATTATAGACTTAGCGCTTTTATTCCCCGGAAAGACCATCGAATTATTATCGTACATACATATTTATAATAATTTATTTATCTTCGCATCTTATCGTATTTTAGATTCTGAGTGGAGCGATTAATGTATTTAATATTATGAGGTGACAAAAAAATCTTATGAGGTCTGCAAGGTAATCGACAATCGATAATATATTTATGAATCATTTGTGTTGAATTATTATAATTATTATTTATATTTTATTTTATTATATTATTATACATACAGTATACATACACAGTACATATCACATAATAATATATTATGTAGGTACTACATGCATAGTGTTTACATTTTTCATGACTTTCGGTACCTAATTTGAATTTTGTTTTTATCCTCTCGATATCTTTAAACTGTACAATAATTCAATTTAAATCACTTGATAGTTCAGAGTTTTTCATAAGTCCCTCCAACTTCGAATATATACCGATATTCGACTTCCTATATTATTATTATGAGTACAATAATCGGTATTCGATCGATCACTATTATTATTATTTACCGTAGATGCGAATGTTCCGGAGAATAAATGAAAAATGTAAGGTCGTACCTACATACATTGTACCTAATATGGTTTTAAACTAGGTATATAAGTCGATGAAATGTCTGCAACTACTCGAATTTCGTTTATTTATTATAATTAATTTAAACGTGTCGGCGTTAATTTCATTACTTACATTAGTAATATCATTATTGATAAGCGATTTACTCGTTTATCACGTGTCACGTGCTGACAATCGCATTGGCCATCGCGGTGATTCATGTGTCGCGGAATCACATAACCGATCTCCCCCACGAAATCACAACGCATAATATATATTATTATATATATAGGTGTTGTACACCTATATTAACAATACGATATCCCTCCTCGTCGCAGTGAAACGTTATGTAAATTACGGGAAACAGACGATAACTGCAGCGTGGTGCGTATTACTATTATTGTTATTATTATGATAATATAATGGCAATAATAATAACAGCGACTGCAGTGTGCGATGGAAACTGCGAGTTTTCTGCAGCGGCGGAAATTACAAAAACACAATGAATAATGTTAATGTATATTATAAATTATAATAATATTATAAAATAAAAGGTCATGAAAACAAGACGAAAAAAAACATGACGTGTATAAGTACCCGTAATTGTTAGTCGAAGAACGGTCTTTTGCCGTATACCTATTCTGCCTGCACTGTCTTTTTTTTTTTGCACATTAGCTTGTTTTTTATCATATACGCCGAGCCAAGGCGATGTCTTATACTATTATCTATATTATACATAGTTATACCTTCGTGGCGATGATCCTAATCATCTACCATCACGGTGTCTTGCGGGTAATCATATTGTTTTACTGTACGTACATATAGGTATAATAGAGCGATATCTTAGCAGCATAAAATTAAAAATAAAACATTGATCTCTGACCGAGACCTTGGTGCTTAATTTGTTTCGGGTGACCGTGGAACGGACGAGGAGCTGCATAATAATAGATATATTGTTCTGTCCTCCGCGAGTTGTGAACGTTAAAAGCTACACGACACCGATGATTCGACGGGAATTCGGGAGTTTAGATGATTTGGACGGCACACGTAGCAATAGTATTCCATTCATATATTGTTATTTGTGATTTTTATTTTTTTTCAGACGTGTATGACAGCACCAGAAAAAAACCTATCTCCATTATAACAATATAATTATTGTTATCACACGATCGACGGGTTCGGTTCATGCAATTACGGAGCTGATATTATTATAATGATGATTTCTCAGTGATACGATCATAACAATAATAATAACATTATGTATATCAAACTCAACGTTCCGCCAGTCTTCAAACAGGTAACGTGTACGGAACTTTACGGAAACTTGTTTGAAATTATATATAACAGCAAATTGCTATCTGCGGTTAACATTGGCTAGAATTCCGGCTCATTATTTCGTCGTGAGCGCAGTTAGATATTGTGGGTATAAAATGCAATCACTGAGCACTGTACTTCCTAGCTGCAGCAGGCCCATATGAAGAGACGCAAAATAAATAAAAATGCATTTAATACTAAATTATGTTCTTAGCGTGCCAACTATTGTTGATTATTGGGACATCGTGAATAAGGTTATATATATAAAGGTTATACAACAACACTGTCTATGATGTACAAACTGTTTAGTATAGATATTATATAGTTCTTCAACTATTTATTTGATTGAGATTAATGCAAGTTAATTAATTAAACATTTAAACTTTTTCATCAGTCATTGGTTTAAATTATCGTAGAAAATCATTCTATCGTTCGAACGTTTTAAAATATATGCATAATTACATGGCGGACATACACACACACATATGATATCGAACTCTGCCAATAATCAGGTGGAGGCAATTAAGTATATATTCATACATTTGAAATTAGTGTTTGTTTTGTATATCGGTGTTTGCTGTCAAGTCAAATAATGAAACTCAACAAACTATAATATATCAAACGCATACCACACCAAAATACTGCACACCGTCATGCATACGTATAGTAAGCCACCATAATACTAACGAATTATGATCCCGTCATGTTTTTCTAATAAATTTTAGTTTTTATCTGTCTAGTTTTTTTCAATCCACCATCCAATAAATTCAATAATTCAAAAATTCTTTAAAAAACTGTATAGGTTATATACTATTATGACGCATTTACATTTTTTATATACCAACTAAAATACGTCATGATATATTGGTTATAACTTATATTACCTAAATAATAATACCTACAATATACATTAAAAAAAAACTGGAAATCCTTCACATGAGCCTAAATGATTCTTCGGTGTACACAAAATGTTTTTTTCATACTTCCTGGTTTTAATAATTATTATATGCATTTTATTATGATATTAGTAATAGGTACTGAAACAGAGTGGGGTTTTGGGGGTGCAATACCCTGAAATGTTTTCAAAAAAAATGTTTCATATATCATACCGAAATAGACCATTATTATTTTTATATCTTAACATTATATCGATAAATTAACAATAATATATATGTTGTTTATTAACGATAACAATTTATCATTTTTTTACTTATAAGCCCCACTTGAAATTAATTTCTGTATACGTGCCTAATAGCACACTTTACAATTAAGATTAATTAAAGAAAAGTTTTTATTTTCAGTCCGTTTATTTATAAATTTATTATTATGTTTAATCTATTAAATATAAGTAAATAAAATATTATAACTATATAACTTACCTCGTTGTTGCAAATAAAGCATTTACAATTAAAATATTACTGTAATTTAATAATAAAAAGTCCTAAACATAATGATGTGTGCGTCGTAAAAACCGGACCAACTTAAGACCCCGAGTCTAATATTCAAATAGGTTAAGGTATATATATATATTATATAATGTACCTAAATCAATTTTATTATTTATTTGTGTGTTGTCAAATATTTTTTGCAGCTTTCATATAGTGAACGTTATAAATTTAAAACATATTATATGAGTATAATATGACATATAGTTACAATTTATAGTACAATGCGTACTCCATGCATAATCAAGGTGAATCTTTTGAAGATAAACAATTAGCACTTATATTCTCAAAAAAAATTGCTGTAAATATTTTTTTATGTCACTTTAAGTAATTACTAATAACATTTATAAAAAAATATATTTTTTATAAAAAGCTCAATTGTTATTTTTTTGAATGAGAGAGCCTTCACTTTAAATTTCATATTCCAAGCCACAATAATATTCTTCTGAGAAATCTAAAACTTACATTTTGGACGAAATTATATTAAAATAATATTTTGCCGATAACATTGGTATAAGTATTAAGTACTTACATATGTTGGTAGAAATAATATGAGTTATAGGTATTTAACTATAATATACTTTTCGAGACTATGAACCTATCACAAACTTTAGTATTTGCATATATTTTGTTTTAACGTGTAAATCCTAATAATAATTGTATATATTGCATATGCGTCGACAAATATATTATAATAATATATTGTTTAATAACTATTCTTGACAGATGTTCGCCGCGTCTGGACCTCTGATTGTGACGCTCGGTTCCGGGATGACCGTCGGGTTTTCGGCCGTTCTGTTACCGCAGCTCAAGGACGACCGATCTACCATCAAAATCAGCAGCCATCAAGAGTCTTGGATAGGTGAGCTATGAAATAATTATAGGTACATTTCAGAACGTACCCCGTACCTATAGTACATACTACATATCTCATTACATCGACAGTGGCATAACGGAAGTTTTAAAAATATTTTAAACCGTTAAATTGTTTCACTGCAGATACAAAGAGACCAATAATAGGTAATAACTGATAATGATTATGTTTGTATCAATATAATATTGTAACATAATATTTGTGTTTGTACAATCTTTGACCTTTGTATTCGAAAAGTCACGGTGGTATTAACGTTTTTATGTAGACGGAAACCTGTGAAAAGTTTGTTATAGTTGTATACGATAAACAAAACGTACATATTAGACTTATTTTAAAATCATTTATCTACATAAATTGAAAATTGGAAAAATTTGTGGCTGCTATGGTTTGTTTAATCAAAGTAAATATAGGTACACTGAAATGTGGATGTACATAGTACAAGGGTCCCCCAAGCCCACAACTTGGCCCCAAATATATTAGGTGCCTATACTTACCTATATATAATATTATATTGCGATATACTATAATATTATTATTATTATATGATCATTGTTATAGCCGAAGCAACTATATTGCAACGAATTGCTCGCTGCAGTGTAATTAAATACCACCACGTATGCACTATATTATTATTATATATAGGTATATATGTATAAGCTGCAGATGGATTAATTGTCCGGTTGTATACCTGTGTTTGCACTACGCGCATATAATATGTCTGGGGAAAAAAATCAAAACTTAATCACTCGAAAGGGAATGGCTTACGCACAAATCGGTTTAACCGTAGATGTATATATCGGTATTTTCATCGTAGGTTGGTATAAACTCATTTTGTAATAGCCAATCAACTGCGATGCGATATTTCGATTTTTTTGATTCTGCAGCACACTGATTAAAATAATATATAGGATATGCGTGCTCAGACTTCATCGGCAGGGTTTGCAAAATAAAAAACTTTTCCTCTTAAGAGGACGCCACACCCGCATGTGTTGTCTCCGTCTTACAAACGCGTAACATAGCAAATTACGTCCACGGAAAACAAACGAATCGGCATCAAAAAGTGGTTTTAGAGTAAAAATACCTATAATAAAACTTAAAGAGAACAATATTTTGGAGGGAACCTCATCGGCGTTTTTAAAAATATTAACTATTAAAAAAGTTGTGGTTATTTAAAAAAATTAAAAAAAAGAGTTTTTGTGCCTTCAATATCTAGCTGTGTATTTAGATTAATACAAAACCCCGATGAGGTTCCCTCCGAAATATTGTTCTCTTTAAGTTTTATTATAGGTATTTTTACTCTAAAACCACTTTTTGATGCCGATTAGTTTGTTTTCCGTGGACGTAATTTGCTATGTTACGCGTTTGTAAGACGGAGACAACACATGCGGGTGTGGCGTCCTCTTAAAAAAAATAAAAGACAACTGCTATAATAAAAATACAAATTATTATTGTCATTAAAATCTAAAATTTGTTACCTTTAACTTTTTATAAAAAAAATATATAGAATTTATAGGGCGTACTATAGGTCGGGATTGGAAAATTGGATCCCAAATGACCTTATCTCGGTAAATAAGGTCCCGGAAAAAAAGGTAATAGATAAGTTGTATATTCATGGCACTATTAACGAATTCCACCAATACGTGCGCGTACAATATATATATATCTACCTGCACGGCATCAGTTAGCTTTATAGGCTTAACAGAGTTCTAATCCAATATACATTCTGTATTTAATATTATTTAGGATGAAACGTCAATCGTAGAGTTGTGTAGACACTCGTGTTTAAGAATTTTAAGCCTGATTATAAGAGAAAAAAATGTGTACTATTTCAAAAAACAATTTTTATAATAAAATTAAGTATGTTAAAAAAATTGACAGTTAAATACTTTGAATTTTCTTTCAGGATTTTGACTCTCTAACTATATTTTTATAATTTGAACGGTAGAGATTAGATTAATTCGATGCTTAAAACGGCTAAGACGCATTTACGCAGCTATTATATATATGATAATATATCATGTTAAATTATTATAGTAATCAATTACAAAATATAATATTAATTGTAGAAAATAAAGCTATTAGAGGTTTAAAATAATGAAAATAAAAACAAACAAAATAGCCAACCCCTCATAATCAACAACCCCCTAATGTATATGGCTTTATACAGTCCTGGTCGATTGAGAATGGAAATCACAATATTAATATTATAACCAAAGAGTTTTTTTTCTTGCAGCCAGCATGGCAGCGCTACCGATGGCCGCGGGCAGCGTACTGGGTGGCGTAGCCATGGACAGGCTAGGCCGGAAGACGACCAACCTCCTCATCTGTGTGCCGTTCGTGCTAGGCTGGACGGCCGTTTCGATGGCCACCGGTGTGACGGGCGTGTACGTGGGTCGGCTAATGACGGGCCTGAGCACTGGCCTGCTTGGCCCACCAACGGCCGTATACATTGCCGAGGTGACAGAGCAACGTTACCGGGGCGCTGCATTGGCCATGATCTCTTTCTCGGTATCGGCCGGTATACTGGCCGTGCACACAATGGGCACGTTCCTCGGCTGGCGACTGGTATCAGCCCTATGCTCGGCCGTGCCGTTCGCCGGCTACGTGCTCATATGGTTCACGCCCGAGTCACCTGTCTGGCTGCGTGAGGACGAGGACAGGCGCCACCGCCGTCAAACCGCTACAGTCTGCGACCACGCGAGTGACGGTGTACCGTCGAGGCCACCACCGGAAATCGACTCGCAGCCGCCACTATCGGCCGTCAAGCCGACGGCACGCCAGTGCTTCAGTAGGCCGTCGTTTCTGGGGCCGCTGGCTGTACTGTCCACGTTCTTTTTCGTCCAACAGTTCTCGGGTGTCAACGCGGTGGCTTTCTACTCGGTGACGCTGCTCAAACGAGTTGGGCCCGATCTCAACGAGTACCACTGCACCATGGCCTTGGACGTTATCCGGCTGGCCGTGTCCGTGCTCGCATGTGGCCTGACCAAGCGGTACGGCCGCCGGCCGCTGGCCGTCGTCTCAGCAGTAGGCACATGCGTGTCTCTGCTTTGCCTGGCCGTCTCGGTCCGCGACTCGGGCACCCCTGCCACCGCGGGTAGCGTGGCTGTCCATGCAGTCCCAGCTCCGGCGGCCACAGCCAGCCTGGCACCAGTCATGTCCATCGTCGCATACATGGTGTTCGTCAATATCGGGTTGGTGCCGTTGCCTTGGATCATGTCCGGCGAGGTAAGCATGGATTTTTCTACTTTAAATAAATATTATCGTTTCTTTTAACTAATTTACATACCTACATAATGAATTATTGTTTTTATAAATAACTTCTAACTCAAAAATTGAAATTTGTTCCATGATATTATGTAGGTAGTTACTAATCAGTTAATAATTTCGGTATAGTCACATTTAGTTTTTTCGTTCCTATAATACATTAATACCCATAAATCCCATTTAAAATATATTTTGTTTTGTTAAAATAATTGTTATTACTGAAAAAAAAAATAATAATTGGAAATAAGGTACCAGCTGTTATTATCTTATAATGTTATACCTATGAATTTTAAATACTAAATTAAAGACTAACTGTTTAAGTGTAAATGCACTATTTATAGATTACAATAGGGATGAAACAATGGACTTTTAATTAAGTTTTTATTAATTTTTAACTTTAAACTTAAATTACATTTTTCTATAATAAGTTATTATTAACCTTACGGATTCTTGAATGTCAGCGATAATAAATAACAATTACATATAAAAGAAACCAAACATCTAAAACAATATAATTATTATGTTTTTTTATATATGGACTATAATTCTGCAATATAATATTCTAAAATATGAAATAGTATATTGTGTGACAAGGGCGGGAAATTGCCTTCCCGCACGAGCCATACATACTATATACGCCTCTGCATTCATCGATCACGGCAAAGGTAATGCAGGGATCTATCCAACAACTAGACCATATTTCTACAACAGCAATATTTCATCTAAGAAATGATATGGTTTTATTTATTTTAAGATTCACGAATGGAGGTTATAGTATGAATATAGGATGAAACCAGAAGTTTATGTTTTGTAAGGACTTAGGTATAGATTTCAGTGTCTGGTTGTTCAGGGGATACGCGCGTGATATGTGGGATCAGCACTTTTAGGAATTCCCACTTTACCGCCCGCCGGAAGGAAAAAGGACGCTGTCCAACGCTTCAACTGCTATTGAAAACCAAACTTTCGGTGCAGGCGTGATAAAAAATAAGTTAAATATTCACATAACCCCAAAATATATGGGGTACCTATATTCTTATATAACAAGTAACAACATAATATTTTCTACGAATTCTGCAATCAACGAATCATTTTTTTATACTGGGACATTTTTATACCAGTTGAGTTTTATAAACTAAGCAAATAATAATATACATAACCTACCTATATGAAAACCTAGCTATCTGATATCCACTATATTACCTACAATATTATTATTCTGTAGTAGTGATGATGTTTTTAAGGGTTGACTATTATGGAATGAATTATTATTAATACTCGGGAATGGATGAAGGAGAACACCCATTATTGAAAAATATATAATATAATGTTGGTAATGAGTAATAACAATAATAACTGTTGTAAAATGTTAGTAATATTTAAAAAGTATATACTGATCAACAAAATATTTTTAATTGTTTTCAATGAACGAGACATGGAAGAGAATCCCTTATTGTAGGAACGGATATATTTAAAAGGGACTTGAACGACACAGATCAGAGAATCTCCATTATAATATATGTAATAATTCAAAATTCAACCGTCAAGAAAAACGTCTACTTATCTAACTGTATATTTTAAAACAAATATTGCCAATTCCATAACTATTATAATTATTATTGTATTTTACTAAGTTTTAAGCATAAACAATATAATATTTATAGTACCGGTATTACACTCCATCACCACACAAATCATTTATTTTTACAGACGATAAAATATAACAAAAAAAAATGTTATACTAACATTTTATCGTTGTAGTCAATGAATTAAATTTTATTTCAATGCTCATTTGATATATTTTATCTGTTTTTTACCGTATGAAAATAACGACGCATGTGTGCAAGTGCAGTGCCAATACGTGTTTGTTAAGTTTATTAATTTATGTAGGTATTACATAGTAACATTATAATAATAGTTTTATATTAAGCCCCGAAAGCAAATATGAAATAATAATATAATTCAGTGAATAAAAAATATTACAATAATGCTAACACATATTTTAATAGGTAATAAAATATAGTAATAAGTAGGTAATCCAATTATGTAGCAGTAAAACAATATCTATAATTAATTAGAATAAAATTAATCCTAGCTGGTTTATATTATGATAAAAAAAGTCAATAACTTTAAATCTATTACAAAAAATGCTGTTACTGTTTAAAAGCTTCTGTTTAGAGGCCCAAAATGGTTGTAATCTTGCTAGTATTGTATAATAAAGAAAGGCAAGTTGTTTATAGAGTTAAAGGATGGCACATTATAAGATATAGGTACCTCTTAATAATATCGATCAATCTACTTTATCATCAACACAATTTTTAATAAATCCAAGTACAAATTGCACTCGGTTGAAAAACCGGTAATGTTCTAATGTTACACTCTATCAGCTCATTCTAATAAGAAATGATAGTTATTAATTTAATTTGACAATTATTGCATATATTATGACGTGTAGATGATCCATTTAGTATTTAAGCGACCTTATTACATAACGAAAATAAATAATTTGGAAATAAACATGAATACAAACAAATTATTTTCATATTATTATTTTTTAACTGTGACTAGATAGGTAACCTATATTATGTATTCATGTAATATTTCGATTTTACCTATTTATTTATTTATTTAAATATCTATAAAAATTATATATTGCATTTTATTAATTTTAAAAACCCCCATATTTGTATATATATTTTTTTTAAATATTGCCGCTATAATAAATAATATGTCATTATTATAATAAAAACAGCACAATTTATGTATTAAAACAATTTAAATAAGTAGGTACCTACTAAGTAAGTATCTTCTATGCTTTCGACCATCGGCTGATATTATTTTGGTGATAAATAGGTTTTATCTAAATAATGATCGAAACGAATGAAACTCGATCATTACCTTTTCCCATGCTGAGTGTGAAGGTCACTATATTATATTGTTACTGTTATATTTTTGCTGTAGATGTTTCCCGGATATTGCCGAGAACTCGGCAGCGGCCTGTCCACGTGCTTCGGGTTCGTCATGTTCTACGCGGTGATTCAAATCAGCCCTTATCTGCTGACCAACATCGGTACGTCCATAACGTTTTACATTTTCGGCACCGTATCCGGCGTCGGTGCGTTATTCCTCTATCTGTGTCTACCGGAAACCAAAAACAAGTCAATGGAAGATTCGACATGACGAATCGCGTGATAAACTTCAACTAGTTCAACTATCCTACATGAATACGTAACGTTATTGTATCGTTTCTGGACGGAACTGCAGATGACAATTTACGCCGTTTGGCCGGGAGATCTCGCCCGATGTATGTTTTGCGTTCGAATCATCAGAAATAAACGATAATGATGTTACCTGTTTTACCATAATATTATAATGTTTTAGACGATCGTTTGATAAAAAAAAACGATCTTAATTATTAAAAATAATATTATTATTATTAAACCTACTTCACTTTTTTGTGATTTTATATTATGTTTATATTCAAAAAGTAGTCGATAACAGTAATATTAGGTATATAATATTATATATGCCTATAGCCTATTATTATTTAAATTAAACAATAAACATTATACCATGATAGGTTTATAGTATGCCATTATTATAGACACATTACACATGTACATAATATATTATTATATATATTACCATAATATTATAATGGCATATTATATGTACACATGTACATAATATATAATATATTATTATATATATTACCAGTGTTGTGAATTAACTATTTCTCTTTTTCATTTCTATAAAAAAAAAAAGTATCATTTTATCTATCTATTTAAACAAAATTATTATCTATCTGAGATAAATTACCAAGATAATTTTTTGTGACAATATTTTCGATTTCATTTTTACAATAAAAATGTGTTGTGTGATTGGTGTTAATTTTCTTATTTATATGCAATAACCCATTTGTTCGATATTATTTTCATGTTCATTTAGTTATTTTATGTATATTTATTTGTATTACATGTATTTTAATGCAGTTATTTTTTAATTTGCAATATTTTGTCCATTCTCGTACACTGATGGATAATCGTATTTACGAGTGTAAAAGTGTAAACTTTTGTATATTATATTATTATATTTTTAGCAAAACTGCTATTTAACAAAACAAGTTTTAAATTATCTGATTTTTATTTTGTTAAATTTTGTTATCTTTGTAGTAGGGACATAATGTAATTTTAAGGCTATTTTAAATGGTAATCGTTGGAATAGTATTTTTTTTTCGTACCAGTAACTATACTAAAATGATAAATATTAATATATTAATTAAAAAGTGCTATACAAAAGTACTAGAAACAAAATCAACAAAGAACAATAATATTTTCCTTATACTTTCTATACATTTCGTGGATTAACCATTCCTGGACATAACAGCACCAGCTGGCCACGGTTATTGTTTGTCCAGGAGATTACGCTACCGAGATACTACAACTATTATACGAGTTTATATAACAACAGAACTATATGAATGTACACCGATTTCTGAACAATTAATCATGCTAACGCACATTTATTATTCGAAATCATCCACCATGTATGAATCTGGTATATTTGAATAAAATATAGATATCAGGAAAAAAGTGTTTGAGAGCAAAAAAAGAACATTACTGAAAATAAATTCAAACACATACTAAAAGTTTATACAAAATAAATATTAATAGTGGTTTATAAAAATTAGTAAAATAAAAATGAATGCTTTTATAATTAGTATTTACTATTTAGTATGATGAACAATAGTGAATCTGGCTCTGATGAATAATTTTTTTTGGACGATGGTTTGAGTTATATCCTGATAAAAATGATTGGTTTTATGATAAAAAAAAAAATATAATAATTGTATAGGTTATTTAAATTACTTATTTTTATTATATAATTATTTTATTGGAATTTTTTATGGTCTAAATGTCATTCAAATTATTCTTAATTCACAATAATTAATAACCGATAACGAAATGTTATATATTACGGCGCTCAATATATGCAATATTGATACGTACGTGTATTGTAGTCGCCGTTGTAAAGATTTGCCAATTTTAGCTTATATCATTGATAAAATTATGTACTATACGTACTCTATACTATATTACTATGTATAACTAATGGTAGATATTATCAAATTGTAAGTCTTAAGGACTTTGACATTTTCAAAATTTAGCCAAATATGATACATAGCATAGTATTATAATATTTTTAGTTCTTTATTAACACTGCTGCAGGACTTTTCCATTCAAAAGTAAATTCTGTCGGCCGACAGATCGCGCTACGTTATTACTTATTAGTATTATTTACGAATTAAGATAATATACTGGATACGGAACGGGCGCTTATCAGTTGATAGTCAAACCTTAGAGGCTTAGACCAGCGTTTCTCAACCTTTTTTCATTTACGTACCCCTTGACCTCTCACCACTGTTTTACGTACCCCCAAATGTCAATTTATTATATATTCACACACAACACAAATAAGATATTATGAAATAAGTTCGATGATGGAAAATTTTAAAATAATATTTATTAATTAATTTAATTAGCCATACAGTGTACGTATATATATATATATATATATATATAAAAGTAATATAAATTTTACAATTTAATTTTCATGAGACCCTTAGGCTTGTTTGCTGGCACATAATTTTTTGAAATCTGGCTTCTTGGATGATAAGTAAACTCGTAAATCTGAACTCACAGAGAGTCTATTACGATCCTTATTTTTAATGTACGTGTACGACGAAAAGGCCCTCTCCACCAATACGGTACTCGAGAACGGCAGTAGAGCATTAAATGCTTTGTTTGAAAGCTCAGGATACTCTTCTTTTACGTCAGTCCAAAAAGCGATGAGAGATTTTTTTTTAATATTACCTCAAGTGAAGAATTCGTCTTCAGTTCAATAAGTTTTTCTTTTGGTTAAAATGGTTAATGGATTTTTAATAGACAAATGATTGACATTGTATTGAACAACTTTACGTAACCCGATAAGATAAAATCCAGTGTCCAGCTGTGCCACATTATTAAATATTTCACAAATTCCAAACCATTTAAAATACACCAATTGTAATTTTTTCCGATATTATGCTTTTTTTTTCACGTACCCCCTTATACCTTCTTACGTACCCCCAGGGGTACGCGTACCACAAGTTGAGAAACGCTGGGCCTTAGACTATGGCATGACACTATTAGTTCCTTATTCTCCCGGTTAACACAGAACAATCCTATGAACGCTAGCGGTAATATAGAAGGTAAGAAGTTATTTCCACGAAATATGAGTTGATAAGGCACTGCGTTCCGTACTTCCGTATCCAGTATATTATCTTAATTCGTGGTTTTATTACATAATATTATATTGCTGCAGAACGTTTTCTGTAATCTTTTTCCGTAATTTTTTCCTCTCTCATTTTTTCATAGATTCAGCGTTCCCCTTCATTTAATTGAGCGAGGAACAAATCGTCAGGGGGGGGGGCGATGTCTACTTCTGAATAGTGTATTTGATTTTTGGTTTCGTTTATTATTTCTAGCAAACAAATTGTTATTTTTTCCCGGGAAACAGTTATCGTCATTTGTCACAGACAATCTATATGGTACCAATAATAATATATAGCAGCATTGACTTATCAAACATATTTTATTTTCATAATTTTATTATAAGTAAGACCAATTAATACTATAACTTGGAAAATTGGTTATCGTGACGGTCAATGACGTTACGAAATATACCTATAACACCGTTCAATTATATTGATATATTTATTACACAAAGTCCCCCGTAAGTCACTATAAAATGTATCCGCAATGGAACGGAGTTTTCTGTCCGTTCTCAATTTTCGTTCCAATTCGAGCTCTGGATTAAGTGCTGTACTTACAAGCAATATACAATATTTATATGCCTATTATTTTTGGGGTAGACTTGCTGTTTTATTAAGCTGGTATAGTTGTAGGTATCGTGAAGATCTACTTCTTAAAATTTGTGAAATTTAAATTAACAGTTTTATTATAAGTTTTTACTTTTATATACAATACAATTATAGAATCACGCACGTCCTTGTTATAATAGTGAATAACGAGTGAAAAGATATTGTCACGCCGCCATAAACGTGGAATAAGTAATTTATATTAATATATTATAATAGACATCAAGTGACTTATACTATCGCGGTAGTATGCATATATGTACATAATACAGTTACCTATATTATTAGATGTAGGTGCACAAAATATATGGCTGCTGTTCTAATTCGGTTAGGTTCATTATAATAATAACAATAATGCACTGTAATGTTATGCAGAATACTAAAAAGGGGACACCGCATAAAATATCATATGCGTGTACATTATAATATTATATGCGAGCTCACGCGACAACTACAAAATTATTAAATCCCTTGCCTACCGACGAATTAATAAGTGAACGTTGGGCGTCTTTTGAGAACGCGTCACACGTATCCGCACCGCCATCACCACACCGTAAATCTCAACTCAACCGACGATAGCACGCGAAACCTGCAACATAAATAAAATATAATATTCAATAATAATAATACATTTTGTTTATTTAATGTATTAAATTATTATTATTATTATATATTATGTTTCTATAATTATATATTATATTTTAAAGTTTATTACAATATTACAACATAATCGAGTTTGGTGGATCCACACAGATTGAAGGGATACAATAAAGAATCGAACTGCTGATCGTCGAAATCCGTCAGCACAAATTGGTATGATACTCTATATTATAATATTATAATAGTCGTCTATTACTAATAAATGTAATAAAAATATGTAAATATTTATGTTGATATTTTTTTTAAAATATATATAATTAAGTGATAAAATAATTAATTAGAATAAAAATTATTTTGCATAATAAATTGTATATTTTAAGTAGGTATATAATTACTTAAGTATAGTATTTAAATAATAAATAGCATTGAGTTACCGAAAAGGGGGAATGTTCCCCCCAACCAGATATAGATATATAGTTGCTGATATCTGCCTCTAAATATATATGTACAAGGATGTAATATGTGGAGGATTTGACGTTATTAAAATCTTGTACACCGGAAAATTATAAATTATAAGATGTACCTAGGTACTTATCTATACTAGCTAATTATTTAAACTAGGACATTTGGCATCCGATGTCCTATGGTATTTACCGCAAGT